GTTGCCACCTTCGTTGTTTTGGAAAAAGCCAAAACAATTCTATTTGTATCAAGATCTATAATAATAATAATAAAAAAAAGAAACTTAATGAATTGGTTAAATTGAAAAAGTCTGTAAAAAAAAAAATAATTACTTCAGCCTTTTGTATTAAATATTCAGCTCTGTTATCATAATCTCCAATAGCATTACTTAATAATCCAATAAATAAATTTAACAAGTAGATAACCGTAAAAAAAGAAAATGAAACCATCAATAAGACTAGAATAGGGTTTGCACGATAATCCCAAGTAGAAAGTGAACCATTATCACCTATATAACAAATATATTTTAATATATATTTAATTTTTTAGAAAATATCTAAAATTCTTTACCAGTCATTAATAAGTAAACAGCCAAAAGCGATGTCTCAAAATTTGCATATAAATCAGTATTAACATCAGTTGAATCCAAATTTTCACTTGGTTCTTGAAGTAATATATAAAGGGCATGAGCAAATGCAAGTATAATCATTCCTAAAACTATTAAATATGAAAACACTTTTTGAGCAACGCCAATAATAATGGCAAAAAAAATTCCAAAATATTCAAATGCTCGTAAAAAGAATAAGAATTTTATATCAAGAAACAGGCATGCTAATGAGGGCGCCCATTGTGGTGGCGGACCATATAATAACCAATAAATTGAAGTAACGGTAGGCATAATTAATGCACCTATATCTAATGATTATGATAAATAATAGTTATATTAAAGTATTTGATATTAAAATTGAATTGTACAGATTAAATTTATGAATAATACCAAAACAATTCCACAAATTAAATACATATCGTTTCCAGTTAAATATAAATTGGCGTAATTCAATATACAAGAGAAAAAAACACCCAATAATAATTGATATCCATAAAAATATTTTTTGCCAAGTATCTGAAACAAGCCCCCTAGTCTCTGTAACAGCAAGAGAAAATACCAAAAGGAAAAGTGTAAAAATGGTCCATTCAAGATAATAAAAGTACTTTCCAAACGTTTTCCACTTAAAATTAAGCAGAGCTTCACCAGTCCAACTAGAATATAATTCAGGGGTTTGTATTTCGACAAATCCATTAGATAAAGGTCTTCCAAGCATTTCTTTCCAAAATTTATAATCTGTTCCATATGTGCAAAAATTTGGCAATGGAACAACCAAATTAATAGCAGGTATAGTGGGTTGTTTATCAATGAAGTTTTTTTCAGACAGTTTCTTGTAGTAATCAGAACAAAATAACTTTAAATATGAAATATAATTATATATAAATAAATAAAATCTTGAGATTGGAGTAAGTCTAAACATATGCGGCTCTGTGGTATGTGGATGAAGATGAGAATAGGACGTATAATCTATAGATCTATGACTAGGACTTAATAATAAAGAGGTTTGTGATATAAATTTATTAAAATGACCAGGGTAACTTTCATAAAGATTGTGTAAATATGGAGTAATTATTTTAAGAACATTGATTTCATCTGGATTGTCCTCGATTAATTTCATGCATTGGTTAAAAACCTGATCAACAAGATCGATTCTATGTTCTAAGATTGCAGCTATTAAAAGATTTTGTGCATATAATTTAAAAAATGAAATATCTTCCACATGACTTGTAATTAAATTATTTAATGAATTATCAGATTTAAAAAATTCCAATTCGAGATGCTTAATAATAAATTCAAAGTATTTAACAGAAAATAATATTTTAGACAGATATTTATCAGTTAGTTCTTTAGATTGTTTTTTAACCAGTTTTTCAATCTTTTCTTCAGATAATTCTTTAGACTGTTTTTCAGATAATTTTTCAGACAGTTCTTCAGATAGTTCCTCAGATGTTTTCTCAAGTAATTCTTCAGATAGTTCCTCAGATGGATCCTTAAATGATTCATTCATCTTGTATATTTTTGAGCAATTTATTAAATAATTTGTATTAAAAAAATATTTTATTTGTATCTTATCATCATGATCCAGAGCCACAACAATAGTAAAATCTTCTAAACCTTCATGATACCATTTTGCCATTATCATTAATTCATCATTAGATAATAGTTCAAATGCAAGAATATTCAAAGGATCGAGGGAATTTTTTTTAAGGAATACATCAACCACATTTAATTCATCAGATGGTTCAGAGGTATTATCACCACTTCTAGATGCAGATAATTTCATTTTATTTTCATGATTTTTATCATATTTCCAAGTAACTAGTTTTCCACGACATACTGTTATTAGTTCTGTATCATCTTTAAGAACACCACTAATGTCACCTTTTGACTTTTTTATATTAAATAATATTTCATCCATTATACTAAGAAGGTGAATGTCATTTTTATCTTTAAAATATTCCCGCAGGTATTCTTTAAAATATTTCCGCAGGTATTTTTTAAAATCATCCTTGTAATTTTCATTCTTATCTTCAAAATCTTTTGGTAGGTATTCTTTAAAATCATGAAATAAATCATATATCTGAACTTTACGGTTGGCAATTCCTATAATCTTGTTTTCAAATATTTTTTTAGGAACAAATCCAATTTGCTTTAAGTTGATATCATCATATAAATCTATCTTAATTGGATCGTTAAATGAATATGGATCAATTATCCAAGTTTCCATTTTTGATTCTATAAAGTGAGCTATTAATAAACGTTCACCCCCACTTAAAAAACTAATTTGAAAATGTTCATTATGCGGATCCTTATAATCTATTTTATCACTAACTGTAAATACAATAAATAAGCGATACTATAATTTTACTGATTTAAAAAAAAACCTTTTAAAAAGTAATTACTCACATGAAAAAATTTCAATTCCAGTTTTTGCAGAATAAATCTTTAAACCATTGTACCATATTGCTAATAAATTATTATAATTATTGAATAATAGATCATTTGCAGCAGGATATTGTATTTCAAAGTTTCCAGTTTTTACGTCCCATTGAGATTTTAAATAATCGTTTCCAACAAGTAATTTCCCATATCTAGATAAGATACAATGATCAAATTCAATGGTAAAAGCAAAAATATTTTTACATTGCAAAATATTTTTAGCATTAATATCGACAGAATATACATAAACTTTTGAATGATTTATAAGAACAAAATCTCCATTTTTTAAAAAAGAAACAAGAGCTTCAGATAAAGCTTGTTCGTTAAAATTTGGAATCTCAACCCGTTTATTACTATTATTACTATTAGTATTATACATAACTACATTAAAAAAAAAAAAAAAAAAATTAGTGATAATAATTGTAAACGGGTCCATATCATTTCCCAACATTTTTTTCTTTGACAATTATTTCACTGAAATTACGTAGCGTGACGATTAATATTTAAAGTCAATTTCTAATCTTTAAATCCTAATCATCACCCTATGTAATGCAGGTGAAATAACTTTCGAAAAAAAAAATGTCGGGAAATATAAATAGGTTTCGCTCCAACAATATCAAAAAATATAAAATTTACAGCTATTATCATAATTCCTGAAACACCTGATAAAATTTAGCCGAATGATATTTCGGCCGATTCGTTTAAGTTTGTAATTTCGGCATAATAGATTCAATAAAATTGTACGTATGCGTGTATGTACGCAACTTTTACATTAAATAGTGCAATGGCACAAAAGCTTTTCCAGTATTACAGTACTAGACTTTATGTGCCAGCTCTACGAAAGTTTGTCAATGTTATTCATATAACAAAATTATATATAACTTTGACTTCAGAAATTTATGTAATTTTCAAACCCTATATATGAAAGATATATATAAAATACATATGTTAAATATAATACCTGATCTACAGATAATTATCATTATAAATATCGACACGTTCAATGTTATTAAATTTTGTATTTAGTTTGTGTGAAACTTATGGAAAAAGCTAAATATCGACAAGGATATAAAAAGGCTCCATATAAAATAAACTTTTATAATAAATATATTACACGAGTAGTTAAATATGGTCAAAAATTTGTCGACTGGTTTAAGGATGTGACTCAAGATTCCGCTCAAAAAGTCTTGATTTGTCGCAGAAGTTTTTCAATACATCCATATCTTTGAAAGTACTTGAGAACTCGATTTATAAAAATCTAAGTGTTTGCAATTTTCGAAATGATAAGCTTTCTAATTATTCGCCAGCGAAGATGCTTTGAAAGCATCATGTTTCTGTATTTGACCTGAGATATTCGTGTCAGTATAATATTTATACGTATTAGTCACTTGATCTTAAATTACGATCTTAAATTACGCACGCACATACGTATCAATTTATAGAATCTATTATTATTATGCTGAATCATAAACTTAACCGAATCGCCCGAAAAATCATTCGGCAAATTTTTATCAGATGTTTCAGGAATTATGATAATAGCTGTAATCGGTTATATCCGTTTAAAATAAAGCCGATTTATCGATTTACAGCTACAGTATACCCTCTCAAAACCGATCCTGTCAAAACCGATCATCTGTTATAACCGATAAAAAATTGATCCACCATGTTCCATAATTCAAACCCGATAACCTGCTATTTCTGATAACCGATACTCAAAAGATCAGATGCCTATAAGATATTGGGTTTGTCGGGCAATATAAATCAATTTGATTGGCTCAGATCGAGCCTCGTGTAACCAATTAGATATATAATAAATATAATCTAGCCAATTATATTTATTTATAATCATGTGACCAGTGAGCCTTTGGTATCTTAAATCCGATAACCTCTCAAACTGATACAAAACCCGAAATCTTTTTAGTTGTGCGATAAATTACCTAACTCTCCAGAAACTACATCACTGTCTTCGGACCTTCAATCCTGAGGAAGTGATGTAATTTCCGAAGAGTTAGGTAATTTACCGAACGACCAAAAAGATTTCGGGTAATAAACAGGTGTCCCAGAAATTATAATAATAGCTGTAAAAAATTTCAACCCGTTGCAATATATTGTCGGTTAGACCCGGTTATAAAATTCGATTCCGATAACCGGTTCCAATCACTATACTGTATTAATAATTTCGAATTTGTTAATAATAAATGTGAGGGAACAACGTGAGGCATGGACCAACATGATATGATTGGCTAATTGTTGATTATTAATCAACAATTAGCCAATCACATCACGTTGGCCCATGCCTCACGTTGGTCCCTCTCAATTAATATCACATTTATCTAATTTACGTGTATCTAAATATACATAATAAAATATTATATACAGATTTGTTGGTTTGAAAGTAATTTGATTGGTTAATTACCACGGGTAATCACGGATAGATCATACAAATATTGTCCAATTAAAAAACAGCATAGAAGACTCTCGTATCCGATAAATTCCGAAAGTATTGTTACACAAATTATTTATATGTGCAACTGAAAAATCATATGATATATAGTAGTCTAAAAATTTAAAACTTCACAATTCATTTAACCTAATAAATACGTTTATTGATAAAATTTCTTCATTAAGAGCCTCTCTATTAGAAAATCTCTTCTAATCGTTTTCAATCGCTTTCCTCAGAAGGTTCTCAGAAGAGCGAAGGTAAACGTTTAGTGATTGGTAGAGTTTATTTAATTTCTACTATATTTAAATTATAAATTAGTAATAAAAATATTGATTTATGAATTGTTAAATCGGGAGTTTAAACTAATATAAGATTTTATATGCTTATTAACAGACTTAACAATGTAAAAACCTTTAACAGACCTCATTTAATGAACTAAGTATGCGTTGTTGTCAAACTGTCAAACAAAAAGACAGCGTTCAATCTAAACGTAGTGGTGCTGTTTAATTAGTAATATAGATCAAAGATAGTAGTGTGTGTAATATGTTAATGAAAGCAAAATAGCTGAAAAATAGAATAGGAGAATAGAATTCCACAGTATTAAAAGCACGAGAAATAAAAGCAAGGTTCACTTTTGCGTAGACAATAAATTAGAATTTTGATTGATTTGATTGGTTAATAATCATGTGGAGATCGACATAAATTGGCCAATCACATAAATGTCATTATTCCATGAAATTACGAGTATCTACTATGCTTTAAAAACGAACTTCCCATGAAATTACGAGTATCTACTATGCTTTAAAAAACGAACTTCCATCATGCAATTCAACAACTGTTTCTTATGTTATTCATTCGGCAAATATTCGAATAAATATTTGCTGATCTAAATTATTCGAAATATTATTCGAATAAGAAATAAGCTCTAAATATTATTAATGTTCCAATCTTCCAAAACTATTAATAAATCTTTTAATATGATAGAGTATCCATCATTTTCGCAATACCAAGTCAGAGATATTAAAATCAACCAATAAATCATCCTTATTATTAATGAAATTTACCTTACTGTTTAACAATAAATAGACTCTAATTTAATGAAAATTCTGTTAAATATCCTTATTGTTTAGCAATAATTAGACTATGATTCATTTATATTATTTGATGAGAATCGTGAGTCAAAAGTGTCTGTCATATGAGTGAATAACGATGAGATCATACGAATGTATTTCAAGATAAAAGTAGAACAGTTTTCAGGTGTTCTCTAAAAAATCAACTTGAAAAATCATCAAATGGCTTATTGTATGTTATTATTAAGTGTTTAGATATTTTTAAAGAAATTTTTATTTTTAACCTTTTTAACGCAATTTTGGATAATTAAAATATATAGTAAATTCCGACAGACTGTTAACCTGCAAAGCTCGGGGATGCGAACGTCCTGTTCATGTTGAAAAAAATGGGTATATCCTTTTTTCACATTTTTACATTAAGAGAATAATATAGTACAGAACTTTAATATTTAATGTTTGTAATTAGTTTTATGCATCCCTTTTGTGGAATAGCGTGCGCACGTGTATTCAATGCCAACTTTTTGGATAACCGTCAAAGAAGGAATTATACAGCATTTTCAACCTTCCATCGAACTTGCAAAATCCAAGAATGTGATAAACCCTGCTTCATCGAGCCATCCGGTATTAGCCATCCGTATTGTTCAAGAACATGTGCAAACAAAGATCTCATTTTGGGCAATAATAATAATAATAAAGAGACTCAAAGATATGCAGAGAAAGACCACATTTGGAACAATACTAATACTAAAAAAGAGACTCAAGGATTTACTGGGTTCGAGAAAGAATTGTTTGGAAATTTCCGTTAGATTCTTTTTTTGAAAGTTGTTAAGATATGTAATAGTGAAATGTTATATGCTTATTAATAAAGAATTGTATTTGTTTCAACCTGCTAAAAAATCAAAATAAAGAAATATACATTTACTTTTAAAAAATTATTTCAATATATTTTTATTATTCTTAATTCAACTTATAAAGATTTATGGTACAATAATTTAGGTTTATACTTGTCGGTTTTACTAAATCACACCAGTGGTGCTAACACCACAGTTGCTATATCTAGAAAACAAATCAAGTAATGCCAGATGTACTAAATAAAAATGTTCAGCGCCCCAAAAACTTCACCTAAAAATAGATCAAAGTAAATTTAGATAAATTTTTTAGGCAAATACAAATTAAGAGATATAGTATATATATATATTGTAAAAGATTTTTGGTACTGGGACCATACAAAGATACTTTGTTTTCGTAAGATTTTCAAACAGACCGGCCAGCTGGCTTTTTTAATTTTATATGTATATAAAAAAAAAACTTTATAAAATTCTATAGAATTTTTTTTTAAAAGATCCGGTTTGTTAGTATATAAATTTTGCTTCAAGTTTTCAAATTTTTGACCCAGCCGGGTTATGAAAACTAATTCATTAATTTTGTACGACTTAATTTGGTCACTTTTAAGCAGTTAAAACCTACTTTCTATTAAAATCCTAAAAACATGCACCAAAAATTTTACCATGATCTATAATTTTCAAATAAAATAGAACAAATTTTACTTTATTTAATTTGCTACAATGAGCCTCTAGCTTGAAAACAAAATAAATGTCGCGGCTGTGCTGAGATTGGTTGATAATGAGATTTGGGGTCTCAATTTGAGTCCACTAAACTTACTAAATCCACATATATATACTCTTTTATTAGCAATTCTAACCATGAATCATAACCCTAAAAAGAACCCAAAAAAATGTACTCCAAAAATTTTTAATTTCATATCAAAATAGTCAGCATCAGCCGCGACAATAAATAAATATTTTTGATATAAATTTTACATACGTTTGAAACTCTAGATATCTGATATGTAAAATAAATAATGTGGCGGATAACATATTATTGAAGTTAAAGCTTGGTTTATCAACTGGGATCTAATGATTCTTATAACAATCGATTCGTCTCATCGAATAATTTTCGATACTGTAATTGTACAAAACTCTGATTTAGAATGCATATACTGATAAATGGGAACCGGTCAAAATCCCGACTGACATAATCCCGAAAGATCAGAATCCCGAAAAGTTAGCCCGAATTAGGTTAGCGTTAGCTTAATTCCGGTTAATTTTTTTCGGGGATTTCGTTCTTCGGGATTATGTTTCGAGATTTTGAACCAAACCTCTGATAAATTATTCCTAACGTTAATTGTATGTTAATCTGCTGATCCGCCACTTAGCACTAATAAAAGTTGTGCAAATACAAGTCAACTTGTTTTTTTTATTGATTTTAGAATTTAAATAGACAGAATTATATTACTTTGAAATAAAATTTTGTACGTAATAATATTTTAATGAAATTTACTTATTGGCGAATTTTGATAAATCTTCTTAATTATTTCTTTATACCTTAGATAAATGAAATAATATTTCATCATTAAATATTAAATTAGTATTATTTCCTTTTGTTATTTAACAATCTATTAATGCAGTTAGATCTCTTTGCAGTACGTCTAGATAATCCCACTTTATAATCGGTTGATAATATATGCATTGTATTGAAGAGGTATGCAGTTTAATTAATACATATTAATGTATTAATATTGATTGGTTAACAAATTAATGTTATAATGAGTGTAATGTAACTTTACTTTAAATACATACGTACGTATTAATGTATTAATACTGATTGGTTAACAAATTAATATTACGTATGGACGTACGTATAATGAGCATAATGTAATTTTACCTTAATGTACATAGTGTAATAAAGGATAATAAATTTCATAAAATTGCTGTAATTTTATTTGACCAAACGTTAACTTTAAAACACGTTAACATTAGTGTTTTTCCTTATTGAGGACGCGGTACGTATGCATATCAATATGCTTCTTAAAATGGTTGATCAATATTATTATACGTATAAATGATAAAATGATTCCGGTATGACTGATTAAAAACAAAATTTCAGGGCTCGCAGCATATGTACGTATAACAAATATGTAGCTGTTGCGTCTCCTTATGGTCGGCAAAAAGAGAATTTCCGAGAATCCACACTCGAATCCACACTCTGTAGTTTAGAACTAAATTTGAGAATTCATGAACGATTAATTTGTAACATCTCTATCACTAACATCAATAATAAAAAATCTATTAACTTTAATAATATCAATTCCTAAAATTCATGTTTTATTTAAATTAATTTCTGATTATAAAAATTTAGTTATGCAGAACACTCACTGTTCTAAATGCAGTACGATTTAAAATTGATCATTAAAATAAGAGTTATAATGCCAAGGAATAGATGATCTTACAGCATAAAAATGATATTGCAATTTCTTTCCACTAAATAAAGGTCGGGAAGTATTCTTAACGTAAATTTATATATGAAATATTAAGCAAAATTTTGAAAATATAATTAGTAGCTTATAGAGCATATCTCAAATTACGAAAATGATAAGTTAAAAGGCATTAGATCAAATAAAGTATAGACTTCAGCTCCATAATCGTTTTAAAAATTTCGAAAAAACGGTAATATAATAAGAGGCGCCTAAAATTTATGTTGAACAAATGAAGCAAGTTCACATGTCGTACTTTAATAAGGAGTGCCTAAAAACTTGATTTGTTTAAATGAATAGGAGTAAATGGAAAGTTCTACGTACGCCAACATTAATACATTAATACGTACAAGTATAGGTCGATTAAGATTAAATTAAATGAACACGTACAGGGCAACTAACGCTAAGACTAAACAAACACATTAAGACAAAATACAGGCTAAGGTTAAATAAAAACATTAAGACCAGGGCTGACTAAAGTTAATAAAAAAAAAACAAAGGTTAAAGTTGAATGAATTGTATTTAAAAAGAAAAAATCAACATTACTTGAACTTACCGAATGTTCTGTATATAGAAATAATTTTGACTTTTTTGATTAGTCGATTTTCAATCTTGTTTATTATCACGATAGCTCGATAAAAAAGAGAAAGTCTACAATAAAAACAATTAATAAAAAGTTAATATTTTTGCGCCATATTGTCGATATTGTCGATATTGTCAATATTGTCAAAAGCTTCACGTGAAATATGTATTGGTAAAAAATCTTGCTGCTATTAATACTTATATCAATATTTGATGCTATTAATATATGTTGTGGATGAATTAAAAAATTACTGATCGTAGCGTTTCACGAAGAACTTTATCTTACCCAATCTGATTTTTTGTGATTTTTGTTTGAAAACAAAGATTGTCAAAAGTTTGTTAAGAATAATGGGAAATTTAGTGAATTTTGTGAAACTTGTTTCATTCCCCGTTTCCTTTTTGAATATTTTCATTTCTATATATAATCACTAGCTTCACGTTTTCGTTGCTTTTCTACCCCTAGGTTTCCAAACCCGGTTCAGTACGGTGTTTTGCTCTTTTACTTTAGTATCCGCCGCAGACAAAAAAAAGCTTACTTTTTGGCAGTGCCAATCTGAGGAACGCTGGTCCGTTTATAACGAACACGCTTCTCGGTCTAGGTCGGAGTAATTTCGCGAGCTCACCGTCAAAAATTCCCGACAAGTCGGTCAAAATTCGCGGTTTCTCCGCTTAAAAGAAACTAAGGTGTCGAATAACTTGATTTAAACGAATCAATCCATTTAGACTTTTTTCAATGCAGCGCGTTTTAATTCGCTTAAGTGTTTTTTTTGTCTCTACCTTGTTGCTTGTATGTTTTTTTTTACTATTTGAACTTTTGGTTATTTGAACTTTTTTGGTTATTTGAATTTTTTTGGTTATTTGAATTTTTTTGGTTATTCGCATGCATTCTTAAAGTCTTGTTTTCAATTTTTCACTTCAATAACTATCAGCTTTATACTTTATTCGTTGCCGTTGTTACTATCAAAAATCGGAATAGTAAGTCAATACAATCTTTATCACATTGATCATTCTACAAGTAATGACTTTTTCTTGATTTTCTTAGTCACCGCAAATCATCTCAGTACACCGTTTTTGATCGGCTATGCTATTCTCGAAATAATAGTGGCTCCTTCGGGTTTATTTGGAATTTTTGGTGCTATTTCTAATAATGCATTATTGATGAATCGTTATGCGCGTGATCATTGGTTCTCTGTTTTTGTCCTGACGATCATTGATGTTGTAAAGATAATCCTTTCTTTTACAATGAAAAACAATACGGTTGGTTCTTGTATCGCAAGGTCCAATGATTCTGATGATATAAACTGTGAACGTGAAGCGAACTTTGCTATATATGCAGGTCTTGTGATATTTGGAACTCAAGAGATTATTTTGGTATGAGATTCTTTGAAAGATTTTAAAATCGAATTTTGAAAACATTAATATTTTAAAGAATTTGCATGATCGGTCAACAGGTTGTTCTTGGTCTTCTTGTATGGTTTTGTGCAAAGCGAATTTCAAAGAAACCAATAGATAAAAATAAACGTAAATCAGAAAAGAAGGAGACTAAAGAAATTGACATGGAGGTTCAGGAGACTCATGTGGCAGATGCTGCATCTACATTGTCTATTGATGTCTTAGAAAAAAGACAATATATGGATCAGGAAAGTTTAATAGCGAATCCCCCTTCTCCATTTATCCGTAGACCAACACAACCTCAGAGACAAGAAAATCAAATACCTAATGAAACTACGCCAGAACATAACCGTACACCAGGAAATTCAAGGATTCAAAAAAATCAGGGCAATTCAAGGATTCAAGAAAATCAGGGCAATTTAAGAATGCAAGAAAATCAGGGCAATTTAAGAATGCAAGAAAATCAGGGCAATTTAAGAATGCAAGAAAATCAAGGCAACTCAAGGATTACTCAAAGTACACAGGGGTTCGATCAAATACATACTGTTTCAACACGTAAACATTCTGTTCCAATACAACCAAAACAAGGCTTACAGGGTTTGCCGCCTGTACGCTCGTTGACATATAATAATCCTCCGAACTCAAAGCTTCCAATTGTTCATCAGCACAACACGACGTTACCTTCTCAACGATTGACAAATTATCAGCAAATGCCTCAATATGTACCAGATATGCGTCCTTTAAATGGTAATGGTATGATGTTTCCACCTACTCTAAATCAAGCTGAATCTGTATCAGGCTTTCAACAGCCACAGCAACCTCTGCAATCATATCAACCACATAACAAAGTGCCATTCTCTCTTGGTCATAAACGCTCAGATAGTTTTCCTCAATCTCGATCCTTTCCTTTACCACCTATTCCCAATAATCCAGGAACTTATCAGGTTTCACAGCAATCTGCACATCAAGGAAACAATCAATATAAAATAGATCAACCTTCAATTATTCAGCCAAATGTTCCTTATTTATCATATAATAATTCAAGATCATTACCAAACTTACATGACAATATAACTGAATCCCCAATACCACCGATTCCTTCTATTCCGGTACCTAATAGCCAACAACAAAATAATATTATTACTCCAATGTCAAATAATGTTTATTCACAACCAAAGACTCCTAATCCTTTATTCAAATCTTTAGAGGAATCAAAAAATATAATACCAAATTCTGATAATAGAGACTCGTTAAAAAGAATGAGACGAAAATCTGCGCATAATGTTAGAGGAGAGGTATATCAAAGATTAAATTATACTACATTATATAATAATTATAGTGATTTACCGCCTGTATCAAAACCAGATGTTGATGCAAATAACCAAATAATGAACAATCATTTTATAAATAATAGTTACGTTGATCATTCGAGGTTATCAAATCAAGTAGCTCCTTATCCTCATGGTGTACGAGGTAGCAGTAGTAAAAGCTCTAATAAACAAAACTTTAATCAGACAATAAACAGTGGCTATACTGCTCAGTCAAAGTTATCAAATCAAGTAGTTCCTTATGATGAAAGAAGGAAATAAAGGACTAAAATGAACTAATAAGCTATTATTATATATACACTAATTTTAGTTATAATTCTTTTTCTTTACAGGTTTGCTTTTTGCTCTAACATTTTCGCTAATTTTATTAGAAGCATACCTACTTTTGATTGTATTATATGTATTTCGTGTTATATTTGTGTGGGTTATTTGGATGTGTATTTTTTTCACATAGTAATAAAAGTTGGTAAAAGGTTTTTTATTCCAATTTTTTTGTTTCAAAATTTAATTTTAAAATATATATCGGTGTAATAATCCCGTGAAATAATTTTATTTTCTTTTAAGATTATCCTTTATTATTACTATCGATTTAATGTGTTAGGGATCGACAAAATTTAACCAATAAAGGGAATGACTAAAATCGTGTCTAGTCATATTTGATTAATTAAATCAGAGTTAGTGTCGGCGTTGGCGTTAGGGCAAACAGCTAATGCTAACGTTAGTAATAATATTTGGAATTAGGGCTAAATTCTGCGATTTGATTTATTTTGTGCATTTCTGTAACCATAATGCGAGAGGATTATACATCCATATAGGTAATATTTGAAAAATTTTTACCAACTCTGTAATATTACATGTATACATAGAAATAACAATATAATCAAAAAAATAGAATTTATGTATACGTAGGTATATAA